TTTTTTGTTGTTATATACCTGGATGACTGAGAAAACAAACTTTGTGTAATGGACTGTACTTGTATAGCACCTTTCAATTTTATGGACACTCAAAGCACTTTACACTACAATCTGTGCCCTCATTTACTCATCCATACAGCACTCTCCTATATCTCTACAAAGCTAATTGAACAAATCATTCTAAAGAGACTAATCAGCGCTTTATCACATTCATACACCAATGGGACACACATCGGAGGCAATGAGGGGTTCAGTGTCTTACCCAGGGACACTTCGGCATGTGACTGCTGGTGGATTCGAACCCCCAACTCTTGCATTGGAGGACAACTGCTCTAACCACTCAGCCACAGCCGCCCAAATGTGAAAACAACATCAAATGTCTCATAACTCAGAACACTTTAAGCTCAGAGGTGACAGGGCTTTCTCTGTTGAAGGTCCACGACTGTGGAATGAGTTGCCACTGAGTGTCCGGCACGCTCCCACACTCTCAGTCTTTAAGTCTCGCTTGAAGACCCACTTCTATTCTCTTGCCTTTAACACGTTGTGATTTGTTTTGGTCCGGTCTGTTCTCTACTCTGTTGGCCATTTTAGTTAGCTTCTGCTGCTATTTGTATCTGTATTTCTATTTTATGTTTTCCTGTCCGCTGTGCATGTTTGTTTTCTTTTGTACAGCACTTTGGTTGGCCTTTTTGCTGTTTTAAATGCTCTATAAATAAATTGGTATGGTATGGTATGGTACTTTGTAGTGTGATAAGTAAAATGCCAAACTAAGTTTAAGTTTAAGGCAAACTCCTGTTATTAAAATTAATCCATTCTTACTTTAGAGGCCCTCCAGTGGTCAGGACACTCAGGATGCTGGCAAACCACCCAGTCCTCCTCCTGGACAGGCTTATCATCTGAAACAAAACACATGGGTCAGCCTGACATTTCTGTTTAATCACAAAAACACCAAATCCAGCACAGAACCAGCTCCATATCCATTAACACACCTCTCTTAGGAGAGCTGTAAAACATGTTGTGGGGCCTAAAAGCCACTGCCTGTGTTTATATAACAATGAAGTGTTAAAAATGGAGGGAGACCAACTATAAGCACAAGAAACACACATAACTATTAGCAGTGCATGAATTTTTAAAACAGAACTTTGGTTAAAGAGATTTCTTGGAGGAAAGGTAAACAGAAGGAAAAGGACGGGTGTGTTTGGGTGGAGATCAGAGAGAAATGATGACCAAAAGACAGGAAGCAAACAGAGCAAATGAGAGGAAGACCAGTTCTGGTTCTTGTACCAAAGTGCACTCATCGTGGGTAAGGGTAAGCTTGATGCTTTCATGTGCACAGCAACAAATCACCATTGTCAAATAAACCCCTAGAATCAACTCGACTAGCTGCATGGATGGTCTGATAAAAGGCAGTGTTTACGTCTTCATCTTCTACATTTACACAAAAGATAAAAAATATAACAAGGAGGCTGAGTGTGCTGATATTTATTGCTCTGTCAAATGAGAAAAACAGAGAACACATGTTTAGAAAAAAAAAAGCTCTTAGGGGTGGAATAGACTATAAAAGTGCTTGAAGGTAAGAAGTCTTCAATTACCAAGCACAACAGGACCAGTGAAGTATAAACCTTTCCAGTAAGGCCAGATGAACTGGTCACTGGTGAAATATTAGTAAATGGTCTTTGATGGAGATGGACTGCAGCTAGAAAATTAAGTCATTCTGGGGATGACCTTTAAGGCCAACGATAATCATTTGTCAACATGCAAAAAAATAAAAATAGTCAAAGACCTGAGGAGCTGCTTTCAGCGGCAAATAGAAACAAGTCACTTTGTGTCAAACACTCAGCTTAAACCATTCTCACAGGTCAGGGTGCTGGTGGGAAGGATGGAAAAACAGGAACTGATGCAAACCATTGAGCCCACAGCCTCCCCCCACTGGGAAGGAAAGGGTCAACTGGTTTATAGTTACATTTGCTGTAGTTTGTCAGCAGCTGTGAATATGAGGGAATGCTCCTTTGATTAGCATGAGGATATAAAAACTGACAGTGTCAGCATGCAAATAGCTAAATGAAGGTCTTTGCTGTCAACACTTCACCACTTGCTCTTGCAGAGATCAGACGTTTTCCCTTCCCCTCCCTCTCCGCTTTGCTGCTCTGTCTGTCTGTGAAACTGCTTCTGAGCCTCTCTTTGCATATCTTCCGAACATAATTATGGACTTGTTTTGATCAGCTGATCCCTCAACACAATTGATAACATTTCTTCGAAGAGAAAATAGGCTTTAGGCGAGCCGATTTGCCCTGTTGGCATGCACGCATCTGGATATCTCATCGACTTGAAGACTTGATGATGTGTCTATCTCTGCTGCCATTTGTGGATTTTAAAGACGCATATTTAATTGGATTTACTATAACTGGTTCCTGCAATAAAGGAAGTCATCTGCAGCAAATTTGGACACGATCATGCTGCTTGCCTTTATGATGGCTTGGTTTGTGCCTCGAATACCCAGACTCAAATGCTTTGGGCAGAATGGATCAGATCTCAGGGATTTTACCCAGTCACGTTCCATTGGTGTGGCCACGTAATTTGGACATTTCAGAACCGAGTGGACCAACACAGACTCAAGGTAGATGTCATTAAGTTCTGCCTGTCCCCAAAACATCTGTGTTTATCTGAATTTGGCACCCTTGGCAGGCCTTGAAAACCACCTTATCTGAATTTGTGTGGAGAACATGTGAGCCGACGTTCACCACCCCCTAACTGAGGAATTTCCAACTGATAACCAGAAGAAACCAGCTGAATAAACATTGTGTCATCATTTCAGAACTCTTGGATTCTCATAGACATTGTCCATGGCCATTCCCCAACATACCTCGAAAATCTAAAAAAGTTAAATCTGGTCCTCTGGACATTCAAAAAACAAAGCAAAACAGAAAAAATGTAGAAATGTTTAATATTTCATCCGAAAGACTTCCTCAGTCTGAGGTGCTGTATTCAGCTCAGTCTTATAAATAGCACCTTCTCAGAGCGGATCAACCAGTTTTGCTGCTGACAACCAAAACCAGCTGCTCACATGATCAAGAAGGACCATGAGCCTAACAATGGATCATTAGCACACTGATGGCTACTTACTTTTTTTTCTAGAATTGCGCCGCTCAAGGTGGCTGCATGTTGGAGCAGCTCTGTTACTTTCATTCTGAGATTTTGCTTTTGGAAACTTTAATTCCTCTTTTTCCGGATGTAAATCACATTTTTGGATGATTGTTTCCTCTGGTATCGGATGATGTGCAACTGGAAGGATTTTTACTGAAACTTTTTTTATTTTGGGACATTTGTTATGATGCGTAACCATGGCAACAAGGCAGTTTTCTACAACCAACAGCAGCTGATCAACATCTCAAAAGCTCAAATAATATCTTAACTACAGCTCCAAATCTCAAATGAGTTGAAAGGATGTTCTGTGGACGCATTCTCATCTACCTGCCGACTGTGCTCGGGTGCCTGGCCGCTGGGATCCTGGAGCTAGCGGGAGACGCGGCTTGTGGCGGCGGAGGGGCGGGGTCAGCCCTCGGCGCCTACAGTTGGCTGTCCGTAGCGATGAGGAGCTCGGCAGACTGCTGGGAGGAGTGGCCATCACGCTGGGAGGAGTGGCCATCACGCTGGGAGGAGTTCTGCTCTGCATTCGGGCGGTTCTACAGCCCGGGGGAACTGAGAGGCTAGTCGAGTCTGGGTGAACAGATCGGACGGCATCTGCGGCCAGTTTCTTAGGATCCACTGTGGGATGGACCTTTACAAGAGATCCTTCCTGTCTACAGCCATCAGTATCTATAACATCTCTTAATGAAATGAGGATAATGAGTTACAACAACAAATAATTTCCCTCTGGGATTAATGAAGTATTTTTGAATTGAATTGAATTGAATTACTATTCACAGGAGGCTGAGTGATACTAGCAATAATAGCACTGTAAGAGGGGGACAGTTGAACCCGGAGGCCTCCACCTCTGTTTAATGAAGGACGATTTCTTTTCACAAAGATGGCCTCCTTTACTCTTCTCTCAAACCATTGTTCCTCTCTATCCAGGATGTGAACATCTTCATCCCTGAAAGAGTGACCGCTGGCCTGGAGAGGAGTGTAGACCGCAGAATCCTGGCCTGATGATGTTGATCTTTTGTGCTGGGCCATCCTTTTGGCCAGTGGCTGTTTAGTTTCCCCGATGTAAGACTGATCACAGCCCTCCTGACACTGAACAGCATACACAATATTACTCTGTTTGTGCCGGGGGACTGGATCTTTGGGATGAACCAGTCTTTGCTGTAATGTATTTTGTATTAATGTATTTACGTTGTGTTTAGAAAATAAACGTCTCAGCTTCTCTGATACTCTCTCAACATACGGAATGACCACTGGTCTGGGTCTGGGTTCCTCCTTTTCACCTGATGGCTGACTGGAGTCCTGTTTGGGTTTCTTCTCTGCTTTCTTCTCTGCTTTCAAGAAACCCAAACAGGACTCCAGTCAGCCAACAGGTGAAAAGGAGGAACCCAGACCAGTGGTCATTCCGTATGTTTGAAACTTCGGGTAAGATGGCTCCCGTGTACATGGCTTACAATCCACCTCTGCTGATGGTGGTCAGATTATTTTTGTTTTTTGCATTTCACATCTGTGACATCAACTCTCTGCTGGTGTATGACAGACAACAACTTTTGAATCATCGTTTAACTGGCACTCAAGTCGCTAATTTAGACCATTATCAGCGTACCTCTGGACCCCCCCCCCCCTCCCCCCTGCTGGCGGACATGCCAGCTTACCTTCGCTGCGCTCCTCACCTGCCTGCCCGGAGATATCGCTTCAGACGCCGAGGAAAACGTGCTGGTCAGCTGGTGAAGCTGAAAGCTCTGCGCCCTGCATCTTCCTCTTCAGCTGGCGGTCATGGTCTCCAGCTTCCTGTGTGCCCGGAACAGGTAACCAACGTGAGTTGTCAGCCGGTGCGCAGCCCGGACCGACCTGGAGGGGATGTTATTGAAAACCTGCGGCCATTAGCGTGCACTAACTCCACCGCTGCTGGCTCCACTTTGGACAATATACGGATGTGTTTGATTGACGCAAGATCTGTTACCAACAAAACATTGGTTACGTACTGTAACCCCAGATTCTATGAGTATAGGTGTAGCCCTTTAAGGCTGTCGCTTAGAGGGTTTATCCCGATATGCAAAGCATCGCACTGAAAAATTTAGTCCAAGCCCACCTGCTGTGTGGGCCTCACACGGTCCGTATAAATTACGTTAAGAGCGGGAAATCGGCTCCCAAAAAAAGCTTTTTCTTCAGCCATTTAGAAGCCAGTGAGGCCCGACGCTTAAAGGGCTACGCCTATACTCATAGAATCTGGGGTTACAGTACATAACCAACGTTCTATTTAGTATAGGCTTCGCCCTTTAAGGCTGTCGCTTAGTGGGTTAAGGGCGAAGCGGATGTAGTCCTCGCCTCACTGGGTCCATTCGAACACCGTATGAAGCAGAAGCTTGCCCAAAAAACGTCTTGTCACTCGGCTCCCCATGTGCGTAATTACGCATTGCGTAATTATGTGTGCCATGCACAGACGCATGTTGTGTAACTATGCGTTCTGAATGCATGAACGCCCTGGAAAACTTCAACAGGGGAGGGGGGAGGGGGGGAAGCTGAAAAGAGCCATGAACCAACCGGTTTACGGCTGACCGTATGACCAGATTAATAATAACAGGAGAGCTGATTATTAATCACATGAACTGATTGGTAACAATAGTCGTGAACTGATTAGTGACAATAGAACCAAAATAACAGTCACAACTTGTGACTGATAACATCTCACACTGTAATGCATGCAGACAGATGTGAGTAAAACGGAGTTCCATGAAACAACAATATTAAT